AGACTGGCATGTCCAACTTGAAGATATCAACTGACTTGGCACCAGGTTAAAGCTCTCTGCTTCACAGATTGCATTTTCTTACTATCTCTTCACACAGCACGAGTGTGAGAATTCCCTCAGGCCTTTTTAATAAAGGCTTCCACCTTTTATATCATCTTGGGTATTCGGTTTCAACATTTATATGGGGGGAGTATAGCACTTTTCACCTCTGGAGACACCTCTTATTTTATTTCACCTCAGATTCCCAGGATGGAGGTACACTGAAGCTCCAGATTCCTCAATAAAACAGAATGATTCAAACCTACATGTGCAGCGCTTGTGTTTTGCGCATGGTATGGTAGAGAGATGCTGGGAAGTATTTGCAGGTTGGGTGATAACAATCCACAGATGAAGTCTTTTAAATTTAGATTAAACTGCCCCGGTAAACCTCTGTGATCAATCACACCTGTATTAATAAGATTTGCATGCTATCAAAAAGTACCATCTTGGACCGGGGATTTAGTTCAGTGGCACCTCGCATGCCAGGCAAGGTCCTGAGTTCAATCCCGGGTCCAAAAAAAAAAAAAAAAAAAAAGTCTTTGTCATCAAATTTAAGTCAGGTACCAAAGATCTGCACCATTAAGCACTGCAAATGATAATTCGTCAGCTTTTAATGCCCTGAATCTTTGTCCTCCACCTCAGCTAAATAAATGTTGCTACCCAAACAAGGAGCCAATTTTTGTCATTCTGCATCAACCACAAGTCGCTTCAAGTTCTGAGCAGAAAATCAAAATGCAGACTTCAGGAGCACTGGCAGGTCAAGACAAGTGTGTAGCACTGGCCCCAAGGGCTTAAGAAGGAATTATCCCAGAACTGTACAGCTGACTATCGTTCCCTTCGAACCCGGTGAACAGACACCAGGGAGAGGAGGGACTAACTAGGTCTGCTCGCGTGTCCCAGGCCTCCGGGGATGTGCACATTGCGAACAGAGGAGGAACCAGCTCCGCGGCGGCCCCGCCATCACAGCACTCATGTCTTTGCCCAGACGGTGAAATACAACTGGGGTATGGAGACTTCGAACGTCTCACTTTTAAGTAACCACTTAGCCGACCTTTGGAGTCAGGGTCACCTGAGGGGGGAGCTCTGTCGCCCGGACTCCTCAGGGCGAATCCCGCCAGTAAGGTTTCTCCTTTTGATTCCCTTCCCTGTCCGCCCGCGCCGCACGCACCCCACTCCCCACCCCGAAACTACTCTAAACACTTCCTTCCGGGCCCGCGCAGCACCGGAGCTCAGTATCCGGAGCGGCGGCGGTGTCGGCGCTCGCTGAGATCCAGCGCGGCCACTGAGCTCCTCGGAAGAGAAAGGCGGCGCGCGGACGAGCTCACCACGCCCCGCG